GGCGGCCGGGGCGCGCGGTGGAACAGCCGCGGCTCCATGGGCGCGGGGAGGAGTCGCTGTCGTCAGCCGACTTGCGGGAACTTGTGCCTGCTGGCCCGCAATGAGGGGTCAAGGGGCGTTGCGGTAAACAACAAACGACCAGAGATAGTAACTTGTTTATGGTTCGATTTCCTGCCACCCAATCAGGCACTCTCGGGGCGTTTTTGATGGATACGCTGCAGGACATTTGCAATGGACGCTGTGCATCCCCGGAGAGGGAAGCCAGGGAAGCCATGAGTTTTAAACAGGGGCGGGAGGGGAGCTGGTCCTCACCCGAGGGCAGCGGCGCTGGCCCAGCACCAACACAGCTGCAATCCCACCACGGTTCATGTATACAAAGGCTGTTGGCAGTCACTCTGCGGGCCACGGCCAGTCTGCTGCCACCGGCCGCGATTAGTTGGCAGCGCTCCGGATGGCTACTGGAGCTGCCAGCAGGCGCGCTGGCTGCCAACGTCTACCAAACCCAATCTCCGGTCTCGCAAGAGGGAATCCTTTCCACCACGAAACCCCTAATACTCATCATCTGCGGACGGTCCTTCCCTGCCAATCCCTGATATCAATCTATTATCACGTCAGCTGACCAGAGATGGGCCTCCCAACTGGGTCTCTAACAAAAAACAACAAAAAAAAAACCAGTAATTCCGACACTCTGAAGGACACCCACTGCGCGTCCCTTCACCCAGCTGCTCGCACATTCTCCCCTTCGGAGGGGCCTTCCACCTGGGTCGAATCACCGCAAGAAACCGCAACCAAAGACTGACAATAGCTACACCCGCTGTGCCCGCTGTCCTTGAGCAGAGCCACTCCGCCCGATATACCCCCCCCCATCCCCCTCCCCATCCTCATCCCCATGCCGGCGCACCTTGATGACGAGCACGATGATGCGACCGTCGGAGACCATGCTGATGAAGAGGGTCATCGCCTCGTCCTCGTGCGGCGAGTACGTGTCGAAGGCGCGCTGCGCCATCACGGCGCCGCTCGCCTGGTGCCAGCACCATCACGTGCACGCCGCGGCCCGTGCCGCTCGTTGTTGTGCTCCAGAATCTGCAGGCAGAGGGTCGGAACACTCACGGATGGGTCTAAATATGTACATGTAACAGCAGACCAGCCATGAACATGGCATGACTGCGGGCGGCAGTGCACTCACGACGCGAACGAGCGTGCGCCCGCAGCGGCCCGCAAGCCCACGTGATCAATCCGGCCCCAGGGTCTGCCGGCGACGGCCGGTGACTGATCAGCGTCCCCTGTCGTGACCGGCGCCGGGCGCCGCAACCGGCAGCCACGCCGGAGCTGTTCCGTCTGGCGGCGACGTCGGGGCGGGGAGGGGCGGGCGGCCGGTACTACGCCGCCCCCCGACACGGGCGCGGCGTCTCCTCATGATGCTGACGACACGGATGCGCGGACAGCGTAGTGCTGTGGGGACTCGTCGGGAGCGGCGCGGCAGGTGGCGGCACGTGGCGTGACGACACTCAGGCGGCAGCTCCGGCGCGGCTGCCGGAGCTGACGCCCTGACGACACTCGGGCGGCAGTGAGGGACCAGTCTGCCGCTGAAGCGATGCCTACGTCTGCGTTGGTGAACTGCGATCGACGGTAAACGCCACGTCGCAGCTATTTGATGCGACAGCCCGTCTCTGCTTGCGCTGAACTACAGTGAAAACGTGCAGCGGAGAGGGCAACACGCAGATAATTTATTTTATTGGCCGCCAAGGTAGCATGTGTTCTTAATGTAAACAGACTTACAAGCTATTTAAGTACGGGGTAGAGCGGTGGCGCAGCCAGAATTTCGCTAATTGGGTCACAGGGGGCCCGTTCAATAAAGGGGCTGTTCGTAGCTTGAGGTACCCTGTCTTTTAATCGGGACCACTTTTTAGGTTCCATGCCCTATTTTAATCCTTCGTGGGCCCGTTTTTATGTTTTAGAAGCCTTTCGGGCGTCTTAAGCTGCCGAACATACTACAGGGTGTCCCAGACACCTCCAAAGAAGGGAGGGGGAGGCGTTTGGCTCCAAAAGTACCCCTGGCTACGCTACGGAAAAGAAAACACACCAAGCTATAATGGGTTGAGAGTTTTTATTCTGACAACAGTCCGCCTTCAAATGGCCACGCAAACAATGATCAAGTGGTGAGTGGTCGCTACAGTCTATGCAGCTTAAGACGTCGAGTTTTGCCATATCGCCAACGCTGGCGTGATAACGTCGCTACGCCAGTGCATTCTGGTCTACTGAAGGGATTCTTGTCACCATATGAACCCCAATACATAATGCCCAAAAGCCAGGAGCTCAATGCCTGCCTTGCTTTCGTTCTCGGCCATGGCTGTGTCAACCCAGATACCAGCCCCTCACGATTTCATGACCACTGACCGGGCTCTTTTTTCCGATGTATCCTGTCAGCACCGACGGCGCTGACACCCCCCGCGAGCCGCCTGGCGCCCGCTCCCGCCGCCCGGCGTCCACCCACGGGCGTAAACTCACACCCGGCCATCAGCGCGTCCAGGCCGGCCGCCAGGCATGCGGGGCGCCGTCCAGATCCGTCTCACGTGCGGCCCAGATGCCTTGCCGCGTCGAGATTTATTTGAAGGCGTCAGGGGCGCCCCGGCGGCGGGTCGGCAGCCCGCATGGCCCGACTCCCGGCAGGGCGCAGTCCAACAGCCCGCTCGGCCCGCTTCAGACGGAGCCGGGCCGGCCGCACTACTTCCGACAGGGCTGGCTCGCGCCGGACAGCCGGCGCGCCCACCGACGGATCGGCCCCGGCCAGCCGACGGCCGTGCTCGGAGCTGGGGACCCGCGCCGCAGCCTCCCTCTCGGCTTGGCTATGGCTGTGTCAACCTGGATGCTAGTCCCTCACGATTTCATGACCACTGACCGGGCATTTTTCTGACGTATCTTGTCAGTACCGACAGCGCTAACACCACCCCCCCCCCCCCCCCTCGCGAGCCGCCTGCGTCCGCCCCCCGCCGCACAGCGTCCACCCACGAGACGTGGGTGGACGTGTGGCTTCGATACAAAAACGAACTCGGAAGCAGCCCAAAGCGTAAGTAGTCCGTTCACTCGAAGGAAGCCGAAGCTCGCGCGTGATTGGCCCCGTGAGCCAGACACGTCTTCCACTGACGGTGATAACAACAAAGCCGCTAGGCAAGCATGCAGCTTGTACAGCGTGGCAAAGGTGCCAGCGAAAATGCACACATAAAATATTCCCAACATGTACATTTACTCCCGCTTGTCTTGAAGTTGGACGCGACCAGTGCGCCGTACTCGGGACCTGATCCAAGCAAGTTATGATGACTTGACCGGAGGGAGTGCATTCTCAGAAGACTTCGCCGCTGACCCCTGAGTCGGACCAACAGATCGATCATGCCACGGTCATCGGCAGTTCGAACCACACAGACCGCGCTAGTGTACCTGGGATCCATAGCCCATCTTTGCTCCCACCCCGCAGCGGCGCCGCCGCCGGTAGCTCGCGGCCACTCCGGCCGCTCGGGATGCGTCCTCTGCTGCAGCGCCGCCGCCGGTAGCTCGCGGCCACTCCGGACGCCCGGGACGCGTCCTCTGCTGCAGCGCCGCCGTCTCCGTGTCGGTCGCAATCGGAGCGGACAGGCCAGCTGACAGCCGCCGGCGCCACACCTCTGGGCAGACCGCGGTCGGGGCGGGGCGGAGGGTAACGGGCGTGCAGTGGGGCGGCGGGTAATGGGTCAGGCGGGCGCCCAGGCTGGATGGCCGGGGCCTGCAGCACCGCCGTCGGCTGGTGGGGGATGCGGCAGACCGTGCCGGCGGGCCTCCAGGAGACGTTATTTAAGGTCAGCGGAGGCCGTTTGATTTATACCGAAAACGGTTCATTCACAAGCAATATTCTAACTTTCCTGCCAGTTAGATTCGATATTAAGCCGTCTTCGCGTCTCGTCTGGTCCTCCTGTCTTTCTGACCAGAGCTGCGTGACAGTGAGGGAGGGCAAGACAAACACTTCATGACTGGGGCACGGCATCGTTGCCCCGCAAAATTTAACAGATGCACAACAAGCCCTGAGGGCATATATTGCGACACATCATTGCACGAGCGTTCACATTTAACATCATGATATACGATGAATAATCGGTACCAGAATCCACCGTGAGCGCGTGGTGACCGAACGCCCTTTTGAAACCCAATAATTTCATATTGTGTCATCAAATATGACAATGATAGATCTTAATAGAATACTGCGAGCGCCATCGTAGCATTATCATCATCGATAAATTTGATCTACGCCCAGGCAAAGCTCCAAAACAACTGCTATGATAAATGAAACGGACTTGAGATGAATGCATATAGAAGCAAGTGCATCCAAACCAGCCAACCCCAAGCCCCCCATCCCCATCCCCACGAGATGTTGACTTTGGACCGCTTAACACGCGCTCGGGCGGGGGGCAAATTGACCCCCCCAAGGTTTTTCCAGGATGGCTTCCGAACGACGCGGCGTAGCCGCGCCAAATTTTGCACAGCTATAGGCAATTGAATAGCGGATCGTTCGACAACAAACATTTAGATGTACCTTGTAAGGGCGCTGACCCATGGCAGGTCAAAGTCAGGTCATCGTTTCAGCGAAGGCAGTTTCTAGGGAATCGTCCAACCTGATACAATAAAGGAGTGTCTAACGAAGCCATACATCTCTAAGATGCTTTCTTAGGCACCAAAAATATTGAATGGGCAAATTACGTTGGCCTAAGGTCAGTTATGAAGATCAGACCAAGGTCAAAACCAACCTGATTTATTACTCTAGGGCTTGCTATATGGGATAGTTTGTGGTGCTCATTTTGAATTTATTGACGGCGGGAACCGCGCTATACATCTTTCATTGACTTCTTAGAGGTCAGAACAGGTCATTGATCTACGATGACCCGGGTTGACGTTTTGTTTTAGGAACATACTGCCTGGCGTTATCTTTGCCGCTTATTCAAACGCAAAACTCAGAGCAGTGTTGTATGACCTTGGTCACTATGACCTTCAAGGTCAAACAAGGTCACTGGCTTCAAACGGGCTTAAGACCTTTTGCTAAGAAACTGTTGCCTAGGTTCTGGGGGCACTTTGGAGAACAACCTGAGATTTGACATTGTTTGACCTCATTTGACCTGAAGGTCACGACCTAGGAAGCTCAGATTTTGACCTAAGTGAGTTCACGTACAGGTTAAGACACCTTGCAAATTTGGTGTTTCTAGCTTTCTTAGTTCCCGAGATCTCAGAAGGGGGCCAAATTGAACCCCCCACCCGAGCAAAGGGTACCTAGCCGGCCACCCAGACGCGTGTAAATCGTGGCTTCGGGGATATTGGAGGAAAGAACTGAACCGCTGCGCTTGGTGTCTTCAGAACGCGAGGAAGCCCCGCTGTGATCGACTCAGGAAAACATGTGGAATTATCTGACGGCGAGCGGCGGCCGGCCACTGGACGTAGATTACCGCCGAGGGAACGGATCATCACACGTGACGTTTGCAGCGGATGGGATCATGATGCGGAAAAGATCATTTCACCTGGCGGATACATCATTTATACGACGGAGGTCAGGCAATTCAGCCGCCATTATTGGGTTAATCAACTGCGAAAGCCCTAAATCCGGCCGAGCTAACTGAATCTTGAACAGCGTTCGTCCAACTTTGAGGGGCCGGCTTTCCGCCGATGCCGTATTTAAGCCGGCGGTTCAATTGGGCGATTGATCCAGAATGGCAGAAGCTATTGTGTACATTCAGATAGTGAGAGCCAGCGACCATGCAGAACGATCGAAACGGCCGCAATATGGCCGATCCGGTGTTTTGCGGGTAACTTCTTTTTTAAACGACCCATATTGTCTCAAATCTCCCAACAGTGCAAAGTAACAATCGAGAAAGAAAACGTGACGACAACACTGCGCCAGGAATGGTCGGATCTCCGCACAAACTCCCATGATATCTCATCATAACTAGCAGCCTATCATAGCAACAGCTCAGTTTGAACAATTTTGGCTGATGTTGAAGGGAGTCAGCTGGCGCCTCCAAAGCTGGAAGTTGGGCACTGATAAGTCCGTCAGTGCCCCCGTACTCGGTATACTATACCCATATCGGCCATGCTTGAGCAGCAGGGGACTGCAACAGCGGCGGAGGTGCGCATCGTGTAGCTCAGAGGCAGGGTTCGGATAACCATGGTTGATGATAGTCAAAGCCAGCGCGTAGGTGGGCTGCCGAGCAGAGCCGAAGACAGTGTATTCGCACCTCTTTCATAGCGTTAAGCGACACACACACACTGATGAAAAAAATCGTACGTTGCAATGAGGTAGCAAAAGCACCCGTGCCATACCATCCAACAGAGACCTGGGAGAAGACAGAGTGCTGACTCCCAAGTCCACAGGCCGACGGCCGTGAGTCGCGGAGTCCGGCGAGCCAGCGGGAGCGGGCCTCGGAGGCAGTGCCGCGCGCCCCGCTTCGCCGAGCGGCGCCGCCCGCGCGTCCCGTGTGTAAACACGCCCAGCCGCGGTCGGCGCCCACAATTTCCGGAGACGGGATCACGGCGGCGGCGCTGGGAACGACGTGACGCGGACCGCCTCGGAAGCCCAGCGGTGGCCTGGCGGCGGCGCTGGGAACGACGTGACGTGGACCGTCTCGGAAGCCCAGCGGCGACCTGGCGGCGGCGCTGGGAACGACGTGACGTGGACCGTCGCGGAAGCCCAGCGGCGGCCTGGCGGCGGCGCTGGGAACGACGTGGCGCGGACCGTCGCGGAAGCCCAGCGGCGGCCTGGCGGCGGCGCTGAGAACGACGTGACGTGGACCGTCTCGGAAGCCCAGCGGCGGGCTGGGCGGCGGTGCAGGCTGTCCACGGTCCCCAGGAAGAACGGCACGACACTGGAGGCGGGCTGGGCGGCGGCGCTGGCCGTCCACGGTCCCCAGGAAGAACGGCACGACACTGGAGGCGGGCTGGGCGGCGGCGCAGCCCGTCCACAGTCCGGGGAAGAATGGCAAGACACCAGTAGCGGGCCGGGCGGCGGCACAGGCCTCCACGGTCCGGGAAAGAGCGGTAGACAAGTCGTCTACGCTCGGACGAAAGGCCGGGGAAGATGCCTCTTCCACAGCCGGGAAGCGACAACGCGACATGGCACATATATAATGCGGTTCATGGCTAAGAGAGCGCCCAATGATCAAACCCAGTGACTGACGGGGAGCGAAAGGCGCGTGCATGTCCCGCCAGAAACTGCTGAGTCAAGGAAGCTTATAGCGCAGTGCTGTCAGGGATTTTTTAAATCGAGGAGTCTGCCTGGGATGTCCATATCAACATAAGTTGGCAAGATGCGTCAATATGCACAGTTGGCGTCAAAACCTATAGAGATGCGGGGGCGTGAAGTGTACTTAGACATGATGGGATGAGTGCCGTCAGAGGCTAAATATTTTTGTTCTGGTCCCTTCGTGACCACGCTCTTGTGTGCACCGAAAGTCAAATGATGTCATCTTCGCAAACACGGACGTCGAATCATTGCGAGGAGTTAAACTTCATGGCATGTGACGAATTAGGTTTAATGTTTGCACACGCGGGGTTAGTTATTGCATGTCATGTCTACAAAACCGAACCGCTTGCTGCTGGGCCATCTGGGTAGCCTCCCTGTCATTCATTTGACGTGGACTTGGAGGGACGTGGATTATGCAGCTACACGCGGGTGGAGTCCAAGAAGTCAGTTTTCTCGGGGCTTACAAACGCCCGCGGATGTAAGTTAGCTAGGCGTTCCTGAGTACCGTGGTATAGGGAACGGCGCTGTGCAAACGTTGGGGAAACATGTCGGCGCACGGACCGGGCTCGGAGCGCAGGGACGTACTACGACGCCACGGACCGGGCTCCGAGCGCCGGAACGTACCGCGGCGCCGCGCACGGACCGGGCTCCGAGCACAGGGACGTACCGCGGCGCCGTGCACGGACCTGACCCGGAGCGCAGGGACCTACCGTTGCGCCGTCGGCCATGACTGCGGCTCGGGCCTGGCTGGAGTAGGCCTCGATCGTCAGACTCTTAGCGGCGCTCTGCTGCAGGCGCAGGCTGTTGCCGCGGCCGGAGCGGACCAAGCCGTCCGTGTCGCCTGAAACCACACACCAGTGTGCCATTACAGACAACTGCCCGGGGCTAGACAGGGGACATGTCACCGGCTACTGCCGGCAGACCACACAAGACGGGGAGGGGGGTGGGGGCATGTCAGAGGCCGCTGTCGGCAGACGACGCTAGACAGGGAACATGTTGCAGGCTACTGCCGGCAGACCACACAAGACAGGGAGGGGGCATGTCAGAGGCCGCTGTCGGCAGACAACGCTAGACAGGGGGACATGTCGCAGGCTACTGCCGGCAGACCACACAAGACTGGGAGGGGGGGGGGGGGGGGCATGTCAGAGGCCGCTGTCGGCAGACGACGCTAGACAGGGAACATGTTACAGGCTACTGCCGGCAGACCACACAAGACAGGGAGGGGGGCATGTCAGAAGCCGCTGTCGGCAGACAACGCTAGACAGGGGGACGTGTCACAGGCTACTGCCAGTGCACCACGCCAGACAGGGGGAAGGGGGCATGTCAGAGGCCGCTGCCAGCAGACTACACCACACAGAGGCATACCAGAGGCTGCAGCCGTCAAACCACAACAGACAAACAACATCACCTACAATGAATTGTATAAATACGCCACAACCTGATTGCCATCGTTCCATACATCTCCCACCGCATATCATGTCGGGCAGGAAGGACAGTACCAAGGCGATAAAACACCGTCAGTGCCAGGCTGAGGTATGACAAAATTCAATTACTGAATTGCACGATTGCCACTGAATTTCATATTGAGCAGCGGTCTGCCATATTTCCCCTGAGGCAAAAAGAGTGCATGCTGCGTTCAAAATAGCGCGTTTGGTTGCCGGAAATTATGCCGTTACATTAGCCAACCAGCACTCCAAATGTCAATCGCATAAACGGTGGACTCGTCAACGAAACTTAAGACGAGCTCCGTGCATGAGTTGTCAAGCGCCGAAAACGGAGCATGTATGCATGGTGAAACGAGATTTAATGCTGCAGTGCGCTCAATGAGAAGGCTGTGTGATACCCATTTTTGTCGTGGAGTAGAAGAAGGCTTAACCCCTAGCCGCGAGCGATAACTGGTGTGAGGTCATATATTCAGCATCTATTCAAAAGCCAACCATACACTCAAAAACAGCCGCTCGGAAGGAATGACCCTGCGGGAGCATACCATCGCAACAAACCGCCTTGAAATGCAGAATCACACAGTCGTGACGTGGCTTGCCGATTGCTTAGACGACCTGCGTTGCGATCGTAATCAGACACCATGAGCGGGATCCCCGGCGCCAGCCTACAGCACGTGTGAGCCAAGATATTCGCATCATCATGGGCATTCACTGTTCTTTAATTGTTAAGACCGCGACCGACACTACAAGAACAAAACTTGTTCCTCGAATGTGAGCACGTAACGGCCGTTGGGGTCATTTCCTGATCCGCTAAGGTGAGGAAAGAGCGAAACCAACTGGAGCGTTTTGACTATCCATGTTTTTCAAGCCCAAGACGAGATGGGAAACGATGCGAAGAAACCGAATCACTATCTTCTCCACATTTGCCGCTCCACGCAATAGGCTGAGACCCCCAGCAAAATTAGAGCTTTCCGCCCGGCGGTCACAAAAAGGTTCCTTGAAATTGGTTTAAGATTCAATTCTGCGCCACTGACACGTTTCCGGCCGGGAAAGAGTGATGTCCGTTTCAGGGTATTCACAGGGGCGTCACAAAAACAGACGGCGTCGGGTGGCGTGGGTCGGCCGGCCCCCGCACAAAGCCGCCCCTGCACCGGCCGTGACGGCGCAGCTCAGCAGGGGCCGAGGTCACAGGGGTCGCCCTGGGAGGGCAACAATCGCGGCCGGACCGGCCGGTGCAGCCGGCACAAAGCGCTCCCCTCCGCGGCTCGTGACGACGCACCTGAACGGCCACGGGAGGGGGCGGCGGTGGCCTCTGGGGGACCGGGTAACCGCGCCGGCCGCGGGGATACGCCGGAATACAGACCATCAGACATGGGACAGGGGGAAGGGAAGAGGGGCGGCGGTGGCCTCTGGGGGACCGGGTAACCGCGCCGACCGCGAGGATACGCCGGTATACAGACCACCAGACATGGGACGGCGGGGAGGGGGAGGGGGGCGGCGGTGGCCTCTGAGGGACCGGGCAACCGCGCCGGCCGCGGGGATACGCCATAGAGGAACCAGGACACAGGTTACAAACAGACCATCATGCGTGGGACAGCGGGCACATAAAGCCGGAAATGAGGCAAGGCATAGAGGATATGATATATGGCGTGACACGTGAGGTCAAAAATGGGCAAAGAACACGGATAGCGGGGAACGGGGCATGACACGCAAAACGCAGAGAATAGGACACTGCACGCAGAAGGGACGCGGCATGCGGGATGCAGGGCAAGGGACAGAGAAGATAGACCGGCGGCGGACAGATGTCACCCTCGGCAGTATACATTTTCACAGCTGCTGCCGCCCAGCATCGTGCGGCTATAAATCCCCGTCCGCCGAGCTAACAAAAATAGCGCCGCCCGATGGTGGCGAAGCACACCTCACAGGAGTGCGGACTGCAACGCCTCCACGCGTTCCCGACAAATGAAGACTCAGCGACAGTTGAATGCGTCTGAGGACCGGGGGGGGGGGGGGGGGGGGGGGGGGGAGAGAGGGGCTGAGGGGCGGACAGAGCGCGGGGCCGGCCCGACTCGGCAGTCCATGTCGGCAGTTTGGGGGAAACAGACGTGCAGGATCAGTTCATGAGTCGCTGTCGTGTGTGGGGTGACTGACAGCCCGAAACAACCCCAGCCAAAACGGTCCATCAAAACTCATGCACTGTGAATCTGCCGCCGCTTAGCGGCACTTCTGTCTAAGATGTTCCGAATACTTTCCATATTATTTGTTTGCACACATTTTTGTTAAACTTTGTGGATCATTCAGCATACAGGAAATTTGAGAATGTCTGCGTTACATAGCAAACGCTACGTTTGCTACGTAACGCAAATGAAAAACGACACAAAACGCCACAGGTACAAGTATAGAGCTGTTCTACATCATGCCTATCGCAGCACCGTAATCCACGTCTGCAAAGGCCTCCTTCATATGCATCGCAGGCTGCTTTGAAGCGTTCCACCCCTCAGAACAGTGCGACACCTTAAGCAGTATGGGGTAAGCAATGCGAAACATGTGAGCCTGTCCGTTATGATCGCGAAGATGACATGACCGAGTAGGTTCACAGAACCAGAAGCCTTCACCTACTGCTACCGATTGATTGCATGATTGATGGTTACGTTGCATAATGCAAAGTCTACCTTTCATGCTTATTTAGCAGGTGCATGTCCAATGATGCGCAGAATTTGTGCACTAGTCCGCGAGAAGTAATAAATAAAAATGGATAGTTTATCATCTCATTCAGGCAAGATAACTTTGCCGACGACATCGCTGCTTTGCAAGGATTCCCAGTTATAGAAACTGTGACCAAAGTGATGTAAAATTCGCTTTTTTTGGGGGGGGGGTGAATGCTGGCCAAAACATAGAGCTACACAGTACGTAGCTTAATTAGGCCGATCCTTATTTGTTTATGACCCGCCGTGATTTAATCTGGATCTGTTTCGGCAAAGGTGTCATCGAATCCCGCCCGGGCGATCACGGACTCTCCTGTGGGTGGGACAATGTCCAGGCTCATTAAGCAAGTCTCTGATCCCTTTGTAGTCGGTATTTCAGCCTACACTCTGCAGTGGCTTCACGCCTTCATCTGCTAGGACCGCTGAAATCTGACACAAATCTTTAAAACAACAAAAGCAAGACGAGCGGAGGCATGGTTCGCACACAAGCGCGCGTGACCGTCTGCAGGCACACATCGACTCATACTTGGAACAAGACGCGTCCGCCTTCTTCCTCCGTCGGAATGAGTTCCGTGTCTTGCTTCGCCGGGTTTCAAGACCTGAACCGAGTTTCAACCTATTTTTAATCATCCAGAAGCTTGAACATTTAATCTTTTCATTTTGATCAAATTAGGAGGCAAAGTCACGGTAACGATGCTAATAAAAATCCACCTTTCAAGCAGGTGTCATGCCAATGCCTGGCATGAAACACGACTTTCAAAAAATCAATTTCATGTGGCTGAAGGCAATGCGAATCTAAGATCTTTGGCAGTCCACGCATTAGTTTCTAGACAGCATGACGGCCGCGCCGGGCTGCGCATATCAAGTCTATTTTTTCACAGTTTAACATGAAGTAAGACGAATCGGTCAGCAGCCCCGCTTGTAGCTAATTCTATTCAGTCCAGATACCGCCACCACACTGACTTAGAGCTGTATTATTGATTAATAGCCAAAGTACAACCTGCTATGCATAAATCAGCCGACTACTATGCAGCCAGTAACAACCATATCATGATTAATGACGAAATCTACACGACTAGAATGAAGGCAAACGATAGGCCAGAAATCCATTCATCGCAGTTGCAGGTGCGCGCATTGATCGCGTCAGACTTCTTCCTGGCCCGACAGGCAGTAGCGAGTTTGCAGTGAGCAGGTGGACTGCTAACTTTTGTTTGGCACAGAACGCCGCGGCTCAACTTCAGGAGATTTTTTCCTATGCAATTTCGACGGCAGCTCTTCCAGCCGAGAAATAAAGCCAAAATAAAGCCACGATCGCGGCCGGACTGGTTACACGCGGGTGCATGTTACCTGAGAACACGCCCTTTCTCTGTACAGGGCTGTAGTTTCACAACATGAATTGGGGGAGCGGGGCGTGGACTTAACTGTGAAAACATAACCAAACCCGCCCCCAAGGTATCTGGGCATGTTTCTTCCCGGACTTTGCCCATTTTCTCCTCAAAGATGGGGGGGGGGCGGTGACTGAAACCCCCCCAACTGAGCAGGGGACTGGCTCTGGGTGAGGTCGGCGAGGCGGGTTCGCCAGCCGCGCGTGTCAGAACAAAGAAGTAAGGCGACGCTAAGTGCCTGTAATGTGCGCAGCTCAGCTGGACAGCTCACAGACCGGATATGCCTGAATCAGACGCCCCCTCCCCCCCCCCCGAGCTGGCTTTGCCCGTCACCTGCTGCAGAAGATCAAGAGCGAACTGGTACACCTTGACTGGCAACGAGACGGTCTGGTGGCAGTGGGTCTCTGACAAAAAAGACGCCAATTCAATCAAAATGTCGCCCACGCTCCGCATAAGGACCTCCTCCACAACCAGCAACTCGTAAAGCGTCTGCAGCTATTGCAAGCCGCCAAAGATAGATGGATTCACTCGGCGTTGGCGTGGCGTGATGGACATCCGGCACTTGGAGAATCGTGCGCCATCTCACAGCCGGCGGCGGCGGTCGGCTTGAAGGGTCGTGCAGCCGCTCGCTCGCGCCTGATAGGGCCGCTCGCCGCCGCCGCACGTCAGCATGGGCGTGCCACACGTCCAGGGACGTACTGCGTGCGCGACCCCCGCCGACCTGGAGCACGCGGGCGGGCGACCGCCGCGGGCGGGGACGTGTGCCGAACCGATTTTATCGACCGGCGTCATTAGTTGGGCAGGAGGGAGAGCGGGTAGTGGTGGTGAGGGGACCCACGTGTCGATTCTGGGGCTGCTCGAGTCTGTCCTCGGCCCCGGCCCACAGCCACAGTCGACGGATGTTCACCACGCGCGCACACTCCCGCCCACGTTCGAATTTTCACTTTCTCCCTGGGCCGACCGCTGGTGCCGCCCCTGGCCGCGGCTCCGACACCGATACAGACGACACCACCCGACCGGCAGCGAGGGTCCGCTGGGACCGCAGCGAGTGTGCGGCGGCGGCGCCGCCGACCGCGGCTGGCGCCGCTGACGGACGACCGGGACGGCGCTCGGCCGACGGCAGCCGCCGCTGTCAGCCAAACGTCGGAGCCGTCGCCTCGCCGCGCTGGGACTGGGAGCCGTCGGCTCCGCTCCGGACGCCGGAGCTGTCGGCTCAGGTCCGGACGCCGGAGCTGTCAGCTCCGCTCCGGCTGCCTGGGCTGTCAGCTCCGCTCCGGACGCCGGTGCCGCCGACGTGGCGGTCAGCCGAGACGTGCGGCGCGTGGCACGTCGTCAGGGCGTCGGTAGGGCGTGCGCCTCCCGGTCACCCAGCCCGACCAGACGTTAGCAGGACAGCGGATTTAACTCGCCAAGTAACGCCGGTGGATGATTTCAAGGGATACACTGACTTGACAGAGTTAAAAAAGAGTTGAACTCTGATTGCAGTCACAGAGCTGAGAATCGGGCATAACCCTAGATCAGATTGGCAGAGGTAGATGTTGTTTTATCTATGCCGTCTGTCCTCTGTGCAAGTATCTAGTGAGTGGTCTGGGTCCGCGAAAACAAAGCTTCCAGCTTACGACGCGACCGCAGCACCTAGCTAGAGCACTTCCATTGCCTCCTTGACCTTGTTTCTGTTTCGGCGAGCTCTTCAATCATTCCTTTAATCGTTCATCACAAACAACGCGCATTCACCATCTCAGCTAGGGAGGTCGCAAATGTACCGAGACCAGCGTCGTCATCCTAGTCCACACAGCCGAGTCGAAATGGGCCAAGGCTGCCCCAAACCAGAGGCGCGCGGCTCCTCACCTCGTGCACAGCGTCGCCGCCCGCACGACATGGCTGTTTTGCCACTCAAACTAGCGTCTAAAACTTTGCTCTCGGCCGCGTCGAGTTGGCGACCGCATTAAGATAATGCTTTCGCCGGCGGCTGCGCGCCGTCAAATAGCCGACGATCCCCCACATGACGCGACGGTGAAACTTTTAATGGATCGTCGCCATTGGTACGGCAGGGGTGCGGCGGGCGCCCCATCACCGGCCGCGAACGGCTGCGCAGGGCCAGCCTCATGCAAAGTGGCGCCGTTTTTCTGGCCGGAGGAAAGGCTCGTCGCTCCTACCCGGTGGCGGCCGGGCGGCGTGCTGCCGCCGGAGCCGCCAGCCGCCGACGAGAACGACGAGCGACGTTGTGAGAACCCACGCAGTCGGGTGGCCTCCGCGGACGGCGGTTCTCCGGCGAGACGGCGATTTTGTGCGATGCCTTCGATACGCGTCTGACAGAACAGCGTCGCCTGGCGCCGCTGTTGCCGCTTGATGGCGCGGTGACGGCGAAACCAACTGCTGGTTTAAACCAATGGTTTGTTCACCGATGGCGATTGCCGCCACCAGCGGCCTTAAATGGCCGGGCCAGAACACGCCATCGATGGTTGGCTGGCTTCATGTGACGACAAAACCCCACAAACGATTGGCACGCCAGTCACAGGCCCGACACAGCGCTGCTGCAGTGTTCCTAAGGTCCGACCACACGGCATCAGACGGCGGGCACGCCTCAGTCTGTCAACACTGCGGTCGCCCTGGGGATTCCATAATGCACGCGTCACTGTTGGCACGGCCTCATGCGGCTGTTTGCTCGTGTCCCATTGCCGTCATGACTGACGAAATCAGCGGCCGCGTCGTCCCGTCCGTCGCCGGCTGCGCTGGTCCGACGACCTGCCCGTCCCAGAGGCCGTCCCACGACCGGCGGCACGGCGGCGACGTGCGCTGGGGTCCGTGGGCACAGCGGCGACGTGCGCTGGGGTCCGTGGGCACAGCGGCGACGCGCGCCGGGGTCCGTGGGCACAGCGGCGACGCGCGCTGGGGTCCGCGCACATCCCGCCACGCATCCAGCGACAAACGACCGAGGTTGCGAAAGCCGCAACTCAGCACTTCAACGCCTCCCAACTGCGCTGGGTTGCGCAAATCGCAATCAAGTGCTGCACGGGCGCAGAAAGAGCGCCGTGCAGAGTCTCCAATCAGCGCCTGGACGGTGCGTGCAGGCGCTGTGTTTTTGCGAGCCTCACGGCCGCTCCAGGGAGGTCTCCATCTCCAGCACGCTCTCCTGGCCCCGTTTGACGGTACCGCAGGGTACTACCTGCAGCGCGGTATATCTATACAGCATATCTACAGGTGTGACGTCAGTGGCATTGACCTTGGGCTAAGGCTCTCCGGGTGAAACGCGGAAGACTGCTGACTGGCTGTTCCGCCCGCGTGTTCTTCTGACCAGCGGAACAGAGCTATGCGCCGGCCGGCTGCGGTCTTTACCAGCCAGACGCACGCCAGCTTCACCACGCTGACAAGGAAATTGCCGGATTGCGACAACCGTGGCTGCATTCCACCTGGTTACGCGTCAGATGTGAAGTGCATTAAGTTCTACACGACAGCCTAGATATCCCGAGCAATCAAGCTCAGCCGTGCAACAAGTTTATGCTTCGCCAGTACCCAATCGTTCTACAATGGGAGTCATGGCTACGCAATCCACGTCCTCAAAAATGTCGTGAATGGCGCTCTCGTGTCTGAAGAGACGCATTTTTGCTACTGAACCGCCATGCAGCACGGCGCCCCGGCCGGCTGAACGCTGATGAGATGGACGGGAAATGGGTCATCCCAGCGCCTGGGCAGCAATAACCGGCCAACCACCTGTCGCTCAGGGCCGATGGCAAGTATCATTTGGCAGCCGAGCCTCGGAATGGGGCTGGGGCCACTTACGGGGCCGGCGAGACCCGTGGCCGGACGGACCTTCTCCAGACCCGTGACAGGACGGACCTCCTCCAGACCCGCAACAGGATGGACCAGACCTGACCTGGCCTGGCCTGGGACCGGACGGGCCTCCTCCAGACGGGTCACACCGGTGGCGCTGATAAGTGTGAGGACGGGGACGATAAGGATCAGCCCACTCCGGACTTAACAGGCCAGGTCATGTCAGCGGCCTCCGCACGGCATAAACTACGCGCAGGGACCGGGGACGGACCTGAACGGATCAGCGGCATTCCTTCATATCCCGTCAGAAGCGCGAGGGGATCTCTGGGACACGCCCCATCAGAAGTGCCTGGAGTTCCCAGATAGGTCCCGCCAGAGGCACCGGGGGGCTTCAGGGCGGGGCCAAGCAGGCCGGCCACACCCAGACGGTTTGCTCTGCCAGAGGTCCGTCCAGACAGGTCCTGTCGCCGCCGAAGTCGGTCACGTCGCCAGTGCAGGAGCACGGAGACACTGCCGGCAGCGGGACGGAGCGGGCCGGCTCCAGGGGAAAGGCGAGGTCAGCGGGAGCACGCGGTGGCGTCACAAGGCGCGCCGGCGGACGGCCTTCAGCGGACGGTTAGCAGGTCAGCCTGGACTGGACTGACAGACACCTGGACTGGCAACGGCCTGCCGAGGGCGTGTGGGGCCGTCTCCAGGGGAGATCGATCGCCATCAGAGCTCGTTAGATGGCGTTACAGGAGCGGCCAGGCGGTCAGATTGGCGAGGCTGGGTACAACGAGCTCCATAAATCCGAGTCCAGTGTCGACAGAGTGGCCAACAGGAAAACAGGAACGGAGGGAAACGAGCCAAATGTGTTCGCAATGATGGAGGCAGCGGTCGAGCGGGAAATGGTCTGTGTTGCCGGCTGTGAGAGGTTTGGTGGTGGGGTGCGAGGCTGCCGAAGAGCCATCTCAGGGCGAAATAAAGCCCTGCAGACAAACGGCTTGCTGATGGCGTCCAGCCAAAGGTAAAAATTAGGACCGATGAAAACGGGTGTCATGATGGTAAAAATCGCTGACAAGTTCCTTGATAGTCAGCAGATAATGGCAAGACGTAAAGACCACCTGACTAAAAACACTTACCACATTGGCTATTGCACATAAGCGATGCAATGGTGCACCGGTCTACAACCGAACACCCATTGGCAATTCAACTTTCAATACCAGGAAAACCCCTTTGTCGCTCACGCGGGGAGCTGAGGTTCGGTTCACTGCAGCAAAAAGCGTCAGTGCGTGCTGCAATAACACCGCTGGGTCGTCAAGAAGACTGCCATTCATGAAATGGCGAATTTACGCGCGATGCGCGAGTCACGCTCGAGCGGTACAAGCCGTTCCCATCACGCATAGCTAGAGTCCAAGCGCGTTTATCTTTATCGTGCGGAATTTCGAAACACAGCAAAGCATCCAACACGCGCCAAGTTGCTGGCCGGGCCGACCCTTACCGAAGCCCTTGGAGCGCGCTCGCAGCTTCCTGCTGGTGTCCAAGATGAACAGCACGTTGATGACGATGGTGACGATGATAACAGCCACCAGCCCTCTCTGAAATGAGACGCAGATGGTTCAAACAAAGGCAGCCACTGAACTGTAGGCAGAGGATCGGGTCCAGATCGCCCAGATCGTGTCACAAACGGCACGGGCGGGGAGGAGGGGAGGGGGAATACGCCAGGCTGCACCGCTGCACGAGACAGGTGACGCCAAACGGCAGAGAGTTCACTCCAATCGCATTGCATCAGCCGACGACATGCACCCGTTGACGTTAGCGTTGTTCCTCGACGAGCACCCCTAAACACTCATGTGGCTTTCGGTCAGCTGGTCGCCCTCTCCACTGCCGGCTACGAGTTCTCACCCAGCCTCTCTCGTACTGTTCCTCCTCTATCGTTTTCTCCGCCTCTTTTTCCGTATTTCCTTCCCTGCCACTCTCCCTCTTTCCATCTGCCCTCCCCTCTCGCTCTCTGCCTCTGGCCGGCCGTTCCGCCGCGCGGCGTCTCGCCCTCCGCCATGATCTCGGGAGTTCCGGCGGCGGCGCCGGTTCAGATCGGACGCGCGCGTCATCGCACGCACGCCCACGTCCGCAGCGCCGCCGAGAGCCGTCATCCGCGCGCCTTTCGGGACGAGTGACAGCCAAACAAACGACGCCGCTTGGCCGGACGTGCGCGAGAGCCGAGGTCTGGGGACGCGGCACAAACACACGTCAGCCAGTAACCGCTAGACTGATACAGCCGTCACAATAACAGATAGCGCGTGCCGAGACGGCGCCGCACCACCGATGGACAGGGCGCAGGCCGACGGTAGGGGCCCGTCGTCGAGACGAGGGCACCCTGTCACCAGGGTGAGGTAACCAGAACAGGTCAGCACGGAGTGGACAGTGTCCGGACGCTGACAATGTCCGCTTGAGAACGACGTGCAGCATGATTTGGTGGGCTCGCTGCCACATTTTCGCTCGTTCTTCGTGCCCACGCGTCAGAATCCTGCGCGAACGCATGCCCTCCAGAACCCATAGTGGCCATCAAATCACTGCCTCATGCATGACTTGTTGTTTGTCTCGCAATCCAGGTCGAGGGCGCGCGCATAAATGAGCTCGGCCGCTACCGCCGCACAACAACGGAGCACAGAGTAGCTGAGTATCACTCACACCATACTCGCGCGCCCGCCGGCGTCGGCGCGCCACAAAGGCCGACAGCGCGCCACCACAGCCAACGGCGCGCCAGTGATTGCCGGCCGTGCGTCATGTTCCGCCCGGCCGCCTGCTACCCGGGAGGCGATAATGCAGGGCCGCGCGAGGCTCCTGGCGGGCCGGGCCAGCGGAGGGAAAGGGAAGGGCACGGTCCGAGACCGCCCGGGCAGGGCCGCCCCACGGCCGAACGCCGCGGCCCAGGTCCGAGCGGACCCGGAGCGGCCGTCATACGACAGTCGCACATGGGGTTCCACCGCACAGAGTCGAAACAGACGGTGTGCACGCGTTATAGGCATGCCCGCAGGCAAATTCCTGAGGGTTCATGTCTGTGTGCTTAAACCTGCTACAGCGCAAATGGCTTCATGGCCATATGATGGCAAACCACATATGTTTTTACTGCCGAGAATGCGCACACCCCGTAGCACGCGTTTCACTGTCTGTCTGCGAAGCCCAAAAAACTTACCATCCTGACACCCGAACCAAAATCAAAATCAAAATCCGACGAAAGGCAAAATCAGGATGCAGATCCGGTTTCCGTGCTGCCATGATCATCGGCGAGTGACGTCATGCGGCAGCGCATCGGACAGGTCACGTTCCCAATCACATTCAGTCTGCGTGTGCCAGCTCAGTGGGACACCGGGGGTGACGAAAACCCTAACACAGCGCCGAGCATGGCAACGGCTTACTGGGCCCGCGCGGTCGCCTACCGCGGTACAGACGCATGCCGGTGCACGGAACGCGCCGACGTGCAGAGCCGGTGGGCGCGGGACGCGACCGGTACGGTGCCACGAGACGATCAGAGGTGCCGTAGCGGCGGGAGCGCTGCACCGTGACCCGAAGCGAGAGTGGCTGGGCTCGCGGACTTCCTCTGGGGTGTGGCGAAGGACGCGCGGATGTAACGCGCGTTGTGGATCACTGCTCAGTTTCGGTCGGCGTGGCAGCGGCAGCATGGTTGTCCATGCGCAGGATAAGATGATGTGCGGACTGAATTGAGTAACCAATGGAGCACGGCAGGGACAGCTGCACGTCAGTCGTACTTGTGTAGGGTGGTCACCCCTTCATCAAACGTGCACGCAGCGGGTCAACATCAGCAGCGTGGCCGGAAGGCATGCCCAAATTTCGCTGGCTCTTGGACTCACTTTCCTTTTCACACACACACACGCACTGCTCCATTCGAGGCTGCGCTTTCTGTGCCTGGGGACGTAGGCACCTGTCCAAACCTGATGGAATAAATCACCATTAAATACAGCTAGGAATACCGGATTCGGCGACCAAACGCACCACCACGCAGTTCTTTTTCATCCTCGGCCTTCTTGAGCACAGTGCGTTGATCGGACCCAATAGAGTCATACAGAATGAAAAACTAGCCTCCAGATCCGTTATATCTCACATCTGACGGTTTTTCAACGGACAGCCTTCGTCGGACCGCTGACGAGCACACATTGTGCGCCACACAAAGGCCTGGCCGTCCTGCATTGACCCGTCCTCTCTTCTCTTCCTCCCTTCCCCAGCATCTGTGGCCAATTCGCCACCTCGCCCACCGTGCCTCTGATCGGCCGAAAGCACAGCCAATCCGGCGCCGCCCGACCGCTCCTGGTCTGCAGCGACAATAGCCGAAGGACGGCCTCTCCAGGGGCGAGCGGCGGCTCGTCGGCCGGCCCACACTTTCACCGCCAGCTCTCGGCTCTCGGCTCGACTTGGGTCGGGCTCGTGCGCCGCGCACACGTCTGGCCGGCGGCGGCGGTGCGGCAGCGGCACCGGTGCAGCCTCCCGGCCCAACGGGGGCGGCGGCGCCAGCTGACGGCGCTGACGTCCGGCTGGAACCTCCCCACAGCGGCGCCGCCGTGGCGGTCCGTCCGCGGCCGGACGCCGATCATCCGTGGGAACGGCGCGTGGGGATGGGGGGGGGGGTGGGCTGTCATGTGATGTACCCCGGCGACGTCACGTCCCGTTGCCGGAGGCGACGCCGACGCTTGGCCAGAGCCGCCGCACCGGCCGGCGCTGACGTCTGCCCTCAAAAGGGACCAGGCCGTCATAAAGCCTGTCCGCGCCATGTAAAGACGCCTTAATTAAACGGGGTCGCGTCTTAGAGCGTCGTCATTTTCATAATCAACCAGGATATTAGTCGTCCGTAGAATTATAGACGGTGGCAGTTTCATGCGAGGAAATTTCGCTTCGACATCGTGAATGGCGGGGTAGTTGTCGGCATCGGGGCGGCAGGATCTCCCACCAGCCAATGCCCAACACTTGCTTTCAAATGGCTCACTTAAGACGGAAATGCAGGTCTGGATTGCGCTCTTGCGTGCTTTTACTTGCTTGTGAGTTCTTAACAACTGGAAAAGTTTATAGTGTTTACTGTTGGGCACGCAGGAAACGCGTAGCCCTGAGATACTTTTTTCCTCTGCACATTGGTGCTGAAGTGCTCTTTGGCTCCCAATGGGCTGTGAAGCGGATGAACTTATAAACTATGCAAATTGCTATGGCTTCAAGTATTTGCGGCCCTTGTATGAAAAGAGACGATCTGTAATAACCATTACCATTTGGGACATTCCTTCTTGCCATACAGCTGCATCTTGTCATGAAGGAGGCACCGTGTTCTCGGCACCTGAGCTCGAACTGTTTTAACTCAAGTGTTCTGTCATCGGCATAACAGCCCGGCTCTAACTAACCCGGATCTTGAAGGCAGTAGCCCATTCTGATTTCCGCTGTGGATGAGCGCACGCGCCTGCTCTTCTGCGGCCCAGAGGCCCGACGCGGAGGTGCGGTGGAACAGCTCTTCCAGCCGTTACCGGTTACATCACGCTTGGTAAATATTGGAACAGTTTGAACCGCGGCTTTGGAAATCGCTCTGCGTGCCGACGGCTCCAAAGGTCGCAACCGGGGCCCATCTGTTCCAGGACACGCGCCTCTGTGACAACTCCAGGACCCCCCCCCCCCCCCCCCACCACACACACCCACCGGAGATGGTTACAACAGGTGACGTCATGTCTCGCACGGAACGCGTGGATCCGCGTACAGACATGGATTCGCCGGGCGTTTGGCCTCTCCGCTCGACTAAAAAATGCGACGTTCACAAACATGCTATCTACATGTTCGTGTTCAAACAAAGTATGTGAACGATACCCGTGTAAAGCATTGTTCACGCACTTCGTTTGAGAGAGAGAGACGGAGACGTTCTGTCTGTCTGCTGCGGTCACCTAATCCGACGATTCCTTAAAAGCCAGGACATTTTAGATAGTTTCCGCTGGAATCCGAAATGCGACTTTCACAAGCATTCCAAGTGTTCGTGTTCAACCGAAGTGCGTGAACGATACACGTGTAAGGTAACGCGGCCGATGTGCTCCCGCCCTGCACCCCAGCGCCAATCACGATCGCGCCCGTGCACAATGCACCATGCCTGGGTCGGGTTTCATGCCAGCCACGCGTGGAGCCGAATTCCAGACTGCATCGCGCACTGCCGGCGCCCCGACCAGCCCGGCCCCAGTCATGTGTCACCGCGTGCAGCCAGTGGGACGTGTCCCGGACCCCGTTATGCGACAGGCAGCCGAGTCCCAAGCCGTGCTGGGCACCGCAGGACCGTGTGCGCACGCGGTTACGCCACGTTCGGCCCCGGTCGTAACCATGGCAACAGGGCAGCGGCGGCGCCAACATGCAGTCGCTGGTTCGAGCCGGTCCCTCTGGCAGCTGAGCCCCTCTTGATCTTATCCCTTCGCTCAGTGGGACGGCCGCGGGCGGAATGGGAGTCGCAATTGGCGGCGCGCGGCGGCTAAAATGAGGCATGACTTACAAGTCCCACGTCAGACAAGCATCGGACTCTGTATGATGCATGTCACGATGCATCGGTGGAATGTCGCGGTAGGTGCTCCATGCACGAGCCCAGTATGGAAGCTGTTTGCGACAGCTTGATGAGCTAATACCTCGGTGCCGTCGAGCATATCACACCATCTTGTGTTTTCACGGCACCATGGACGTGGCCACAGTGCGCGGTATGGAAATGAGGCGGTGCGGAACTACGGACGGTGAGCGACGGCGGACCCGCTTCCGTCGCGAGAGCTCGCAGACTGTGATCCTCTAACGATGGTGCGAGGCCCGTAATTCACGGAGCACAGCCTGATTGCGATTCGGTTGGTGATTTACGACGAGGCGGGGATGGCTCCTGAATACCGGAGGTGACTTGCATGAGGCAGCCCAATAGTAAGAGCCTTACTGGGCACAATCTGGAGAGGCAAGAGGTGTCACACCTCAGGAGCACCTCGTACCTGGAGTGACACGTGAGGGGGCGCACCCCATCATTGCGCTTAACCTGTACAGGGTCACGACTCTCAACTGATGCAGACCGTCATCTGAGATCAGCACAACTGACACAGACCGTCATCTGAGATCAGCTCACCTGACGCGGACCGTCATCTGCGATCAGCTCATCTGACACACTGTCATCTGAGATCAGCTCACCTGGCACACTGTCATCTGATATCAGCTCACCTGACACGAACCATCATTTGAGACCAGGTACAAGCCGTCATCCCAGGTCACCTCACTGGACGCGGACCGTGCAAAATGCATTTCACCTCACACAATCCAGTGTTGGGTCGTCTCACACCTGACAGGGTCACCCCGGCGGCTTGCGCCAGCCGCCCTCACCCGGCCTGCACACCTCACCTGGCACAGTCTGGAGAGGGAGCAGCGCCTGCCGAGCGGCAGCAGCGGCGGCAGCAGCGGCGTCGGCGCCGCGGCCAGCCGGCGCGGCACGTAGGGCGCGGCGCGCGGATTCGGCTGCCACCCGCCCGGGTACCGGCTCCCCGTCATGGCCGGCGCGCTGGCTTGCTCCGGCTAGACCGCAACGGCAGACGCCATCCTGGAACGGGTGCACAACGACCGGTCACGGCTGGTAGGCGCGGGGATGGCTGGATGGGGTCCGGCGCCAGTGCCGTCGTTTTCAAGGTCGCTGGAGCGCGGGTTCGCGGACGAAAGGTGGGGGGCTGGTCACGGTTTTCGATGTCGTGTCGGGATACCCCACGCTAGATCATTCCACCGTCTATCGGTTACGCACGGCTGATCGGGGGACAAAAGACAGCATTCAGCAGGCCATTGGACGGCCAGTTTTGACATTCTGTCCGCATATGACGCCGCCGCCTCGCGGTCGACACGTCGATGGCCGACGGACCTTCCTAAGCCGTCACATTGCACACATGTCAGACGCGACGACTAACTTGCAAACGTATTGGGCCGTGCCCGAGAACGGACGTCCGCCGTAGACGTCGCCGGAGCCGGCCGTACCCGCCTATCACCTGTCGGCCCGCGCCGAAGCGGCCGTGAATTTATTCGTCCTGCTCTGGTAGCTCCGGAGTGGACGGAAAAGTTATGTGTGGTTGAGTCCGGTAGCCAGAACGGAGGTGCCTGCAGACCGCCGGCGGCCGCGGCGGGAGCCTGGTGGCTCCTGCGGTGCAGTCAACTGCGCCGCTAATCGCCGCAGACGCGCCGCGAATGCCGGCGTGCTAACGAGCCCGCGACGCCGGCGCGCCGAGGGGGCCCGACGACGGTGGAGCGCCAGCCAGGCGGACAACACGGAAATGACGCCCGGACGGTCGATCACAGACGCTGCGGCGCTCGGATGGCGCTCGCGCCGCCGATGAATGCAGCGGCGCGGCGCCGGCGGATACATACAGAGGCGGCGAGGCAAAAGTAGTGGCTGATCGCGACGGGACGTGCAGCTGGAAAAGCCAGGGAGACGTAACGGGGATACAGGGGACTTCCGACTCCCTCGCCCGCTCCGCGAGCCACTGACATCGCTGGCGCCATTCCGACCGCGCTGCCGGTCAATGGCGTCGGGGACGTTGGTCCAGCACTGGCCGAGATGAAATGTTGGGCACGTTTTCTTCAGGAGCGTACCGGCTCGTCGCGTGGTACCTACTCTCACTACTCCCATGACCGAGCTGGTCATGTTGTCCGGTGTTGTGACCAGTGCGCACAGCGTCGGCCTGTCCCCGCTCCGCCAGTCGCGTCAGGGGTGTTCTGCCGCCTGTCGCCCTCCTCCGGCGCACCAGTGCGGCGCTAACGACGGTGCTCCAGGCCGACCGCGGGCTCACCTCGCACCTTCCCGCGGGAGCGGCGCGTCAGCCAACTAATCAGCCTCATGGCCCGGATCGACCGCGCCCGACACGCGCTGACCTTCCGGTCGCCCCCAGGGCATGTGCAGGGCGCCGGGTGTGGGCGGCACCGGCGCCGCGTGACCGGCCGGAGAGCGGCCACCGCCGCCGCCGATGACAGCTGATTATTCAGTGATGGAAAACGGGCGCCGTAACCGGTGGACGCAGAGCCTTGAGCTGATTTCACGGCGCAACGACGAGAGGAGACGGCCCAGGGGCCGTGCATTGACGTCCAAAGCCCGACCTGATGCCCTCACGTATACCCAAGCTTTCACTGGGGCGTGGATTAAACAAAATCTTAACCTGAAAACCATTCGCCGTCACCGCCTCGGGAGGACACCACGCCACGCCAGACCCTTGCAAGAGGACACGCACGTGGCGGCGCGGACGTCTGATCCTGTGACGGCTACCAGAGCTGGTCGTCGGGCGACGGCAGCGGCGGCGGCGGCGGCCGATGTCGTCTGATCCTGTGACGGCTAGCAGAGCTGGCCGTCGGGCGACGGCAGCGGCGGCGGCGGCGGCCGATGTCGTCTGATCCTGTGACGGCTACCAGAGCTGGTCGTCGGGCGACGGCAGCGGCGGCGGCGGCGGCCGATGTCGTCTGATCCTGTGACGGCTACCAGAGCTGGTCGTCGGGCGACGGCAGCGGCGGCGGCGGCGGCCGATGTCGTCTGATCCTGTGACGGCTACCAGAGCTGGTCGTCGGGCGGCGGCAGCGGCGGCGGCGGCCGGTGACCGTGCCGCTCGGCTGGCTCTGCCGCCGCCGGACCCGGCGGCCATCCGTCGAACCCCCGCGGCGGCAGACAAAGGCCGTCCCGTGACGCACCAGACGGCACATGATGTGTGGCTAGGGCCCGTGGTCAGGGAGGCGGGGTTCCGAGCAGGCGGTGGTCCGGGGAGGCCGGTTTTGAGGAGGCGGGTCTCGGGGAGGTAGCGGTCTGTGGACGCGGGTCCGAGGAGGCGGGTATGGGCAGGCAGGGTCTAAGAGAGGCGGACTTTGGGGAAGGTGAGGGTCCGGGGAGGCAGAGATCAGGGGAGGCGGATTTCAAATAGATGGGTCTCCAGCAGGCGGTGGTATCCAGCTGGCGTGTTATTGGAAAGCGGGTCCGGAGAGGCGGGCCTGAGGAGGCGGGGGTCCCAGAAAGGCGGAATTTTGGGAAGGCAAGGGTCCTCGGGGGCAGAGTCTGAGGAAGGCGGGGTCCCAGAGAGGCGGAATTTTGGGAAGGCCAGGGTCCTCGGGGGCAGAGTCTGCGAAGGCGGGTCCAAAAGAGGCAGGAGCCACAGACGACAGGGTCCCGGGGAAGCAAGCACCACGGGAGGTCGGGTGGCAGGCAGACGGGTCCCTCGGCTCACAGTCAGCTGACGGTACGGCAGCCTGCTGTGACGTCACATCACGTCCTCGGCTTACAGTGGGCTGTCCGCGCGCCAGCCTGCTGGGCTCAGACGAGAGTGGGTGACAAAAACAGACGATGAACGTCGCCCTGTACAGAGCACGTACACCCGCGTCCGCCAGACGGCCTAGGCGTGCCACTTGTCGGGAAATGCCACCGCGTGATATAAGCAGACAAGGTGAAACTTCAAACCAAACAAAAACCGATCTGGAACAGGTCCACCTCAGGAGAGGTGACAGCTTGAATAAGTCCTTTCATCGTTACCACATTGAATGACGAGAACTTATGTGCCCTTTAGCTGGGCTAAATGACCACTGACAGCTCATCAATGTTCCTCGTTGATTATAGTTCTTGGGTATGTTCGTTTGTTATGCGCCGCAATATTTGGGTTGGGTACGTCTGGTGGGCGCCAAACACTGGGAATCCAAGGAAGCTAATAACGCTTCCCTCATCCTGTTACGTATTAAGCCCTGCTAACTGAATTTTGCTTAACAAAGTTAGTCGGAGATGCGTTCCTTTCTAATTAGCCAACGTCGCTGAAGCATCGGCACCACCAGGGACCGGGTATTTTCTAGACGCACTCATTAGCAGCTAACGATAATTTTCGGTGGTCCAGATGCCACAGAGGCTGTCAGAGCCCCCAAAGACAGCTGGTTTCATGCTGACACCACGAATTCCTCTTTCATTCGGTATTAAGGAAGAACAGTCACATGGATTCACTTGCACAGCCCGCACTTACATTGCCCTGTTATTACCTGCAAAAGATGAAGACGGCCTATAGGATCAACGCAACGGCTTGAAGCAGTCAAATAGTTTTACGTATTCGTGAGGTACATAAACTTCAAGGCTTCAGTACGGGTCTGTTCTGGCACTTTGACACGCACGCACGCACGCACGCACGCGCACACACATACTCAGTCGCAAGCAACTTATTAGGACGAAAAGCGACATCAGACACGGACTTCTCTTCAATTTCGCGCTCATTTCGCAAAACTACACAACAATCAGGCTAAGTCCACCAGAGATGACCGCCTCCACGTCGCCAGAAATGACCGGTTACTTCCCCTCGCTACAGCCGGCGTAGAAGGCTGGGGCGCTAACGGACTGAACAGCTACATACGTCGTAAGATAGCTCAATGAGTGATTACTATCCGGACCGTTGGGGCGCCGCCGGTCGCCGGTCTGCCCGGACTGTGGACCGGATTCGCCCGCGGGCTGCCGCCGTCGGCTGACGTCCGCAGGTCACCAGGTCACGGCGCCCGCACCGCCGGCGGGGCCCTCATGGCCGGCTCGGGGCTGACTCGCCGCACGGGCTGAGCACGAGAACGGACCCGGTGACAGGCAGCGGTCACTGTCGAGGCATGGTCACTGAAGAGGTCCGCTCACTGATAGATCATGCTCAGTTGCGGACCAGTCCGTCACTGGGTGACGCCCAGAGACGGGACACGCGCTCGTAATGACTAGCGTGCCAGCCTGCTGGGCCCCAGACGAGAGTGGGTGATAAAAACAGACGTTGAACGTCGCCCTGTACAGGGCACGTACACCCCCGTCCGCCAGGCGGCCTAAATGTGCCACTGGGCGGGAAATGCCACCGTATGATATGAGCAGACAAGGTGAAGCTGAAAAAGCAAACACAAAAACCAGTCCAGAACAAACCACTTCACTCTGTGAGACGAAAGTGTGACTTGATCCTTTGACGCCCTGTGCGGGAGGCGGGAGGCGGTCCCAGCTGGCGGTTCCGGCGGGCCGAAGCCGACCCGGCCTCTTCCCCTCCCCTCCCCCTTCCCCCAGTTATCGGCTGTTGGCCCGGGATCACGGGGCGACGGGCGGCCTTCGGCCCCGGCACCGCCGGTCGTAAAGCGAGGGGCCGTGACGGCCTGATGCACCCAATACGGGCCGCCTCGGACTGATCGGACTCAGACGAGCCCCTCAGCCTCAACGAACTTGAAGGATACTGTCTGATTGGGATGAGCTGGGGTGAGCTCCCGGTCGTTTGGAAGGGTCAGGACAATCCTAAATCACTGGAAAGGTGTCGTCCTCTGTCTTAACACGACAAACTTTTCCTTTTTCTGCTAAACTACTGAGCCAATCCTCGCTCAAAGAAGCCCTGATGTGAGGAAGAGTCCCCCAAAAGTCTCGGGCTGGGAGAGGCCGGGACGGGCCCCGCCAGAGCAAGTCTGCTCACCGTTTCACTCCTGTGCCTCCTCGAATCAGTGCAGGCCTCAGCTCAAGCGGAAACGGTGGGCCTGCGCCGCCGTGGTGAGGCGGCCAGGCATGAAACCCCACCGGCAGGCATGAATAATCACCTGATTAGCTGGCGCCGTCATCAGTGACGACCAAGTGCACGAGGTGCGCGAGGAGGCTCGGGTTTCCGACTCCGGCGACGTGGAGCACGGCTAACGAGCGGTGAAGGGGGCGGCGACACCAGTCTGGCGCGCCGCACATGGACCCCGGCGCCGATAACGGGTGTCGGCCGTCGCCGGCCCGAAATTCAACCTCGCCGCGAGCCGACCGGCGCC